GGGGGGGGGGGGGGTATTAATTTATCTTTAAAGCTTTGGATTCCAGTGCTAGATATTAATTCATGAATAGTAAAAATTTTCACCTTACAGAGGACTAATGAGCTTTCAACCTTTCCTGTGATAAGAAATATAATGGAGATAGCGTCCATCATATCCAGGCATAGGTCTATACATCGGGCTTCCTCTGGTCTAAACAGTACATAGTTTATGAACACAGGTCATTCAATACATAGTTCATGTACACAGTTCACACTATACAGTGTACATAGTTCATGTTTAGCGTAAACAGTTAAAACAATACATAGTTCATGTACACTGTACTCAGTTCACACAGTACATAGTGCATGCACAGTTCACTGCAAAGTACATAGTTTATGTAAATGGTTCCCACAGTACATAGTACACAGTACACAGGTCATGCAGTAGAAAGTGAATGTTTGGTGTACCCACAGTACATTGCTCATGCACCGTTCACATAGTACATAGTTAATATACTCAGTTCACGCAGTGCATAGTTAATGTACACAGTACTTAGTTAATGTACACAGTTCACCCAGTACATAGTTAATATATCCTGTTCACACAGAACATAGTTCATAAATATAACAGTCAGTAGTCACACATTACTTAGTTCACAGTACATAGTTCATGTAGTATACACAGTTCTCACAATACATAGTTCATAAACAGTGTACACAATTCCCACAGTACATACCTCATGCACAGGTTACACAGTACATAACTTGTGTATTGTGAAATAGTACACAGTTCGCACAGTACATAGTTATTGAAATATACCCTTACTATAATTTATAGTAAGGGTATATTGAGTACATAGTTGATCTTCAATACACTATTGAACACAGTTCACATAGCACATAGTAGATGCAAAATGCACCAAAAACAGGCGATAAAGAATCAGTGCTGTTTCTGTATGTTATACAAGACAGAATATATACATTGTTTTATATACAATTAACATAATATACAGTTTCTTCGTAGTTTACAGAACATAGTTCATTAAGTATACAGAACATAATTTATACAGTACAAAGTACATGTACAATTCAGAAATTATACAACACACTGGAGTACAGTTAATTCAGCAGTAAATATTTCATAATTGTTTAATTTCTTACCCGATTTTTTTGGGAAGTATGTCAGGCCCTGTAAGGTTTCCATCAACACGCACATCTTTAAAGAAAAGTGTTGATTATCATCATTTCTGTTCAGTACTTAACGCAATAATTGCGTAGATATAAATAAAAAGAAGTTGAGAACTAGAAAAATTGAAATCCCCGTCATTCTATTTAATTAATTCTGCCCCTAAAATATTCTTAGAAAAATAGCAGTTGTAAACTTGTAATACTTGCAAATCATAAAATCCTATGCAGCAACATTTCTGAAGGATATGAATAACAGGAAGAACAAAGACGCCATTTATTCCAGTTTTTAGGTTTCACTGTATTGCCAGGAAACCATTGTTACCCATGGCCAAAAATGCGACTTTTTATTATTAACGGCTTTTTTTAATTCGTAATTGGTATTCCCTTTTTCGTATGGAAACTTAGATCTATGTCATTTATACATTACCTGTATCGTGTCGGAAAATACATTTATACATTACCTGTATCGTGTCTGAAAATACATTTATACATTACCTGTATCGTGTCTGAAAATACATTTATACATTACCTGTATCGTGTCTGAAAATACATTTATACATTACCTGTATCGTGTCTGATACCTGTATCGTGTCTGAAAATACATTTATACATTACCTGTATCGTGTCTGAAAATGTCTAGAACATCCTCTTTTCTTATGATCTCAATAATATCAGACATTTTTCAATCTTACGTCTGAAATCACTGTTGTACAACATATATTGCGAAAGTTTTGAAAAAATAATACAAATTAAGGGGGGGCAGGTAATAAAAAATTGATAGTGAACGTTTTCAATCTTTTTCAAAAAATTCTGAATTGATTGATTGATTGATAAACGTTTATTTCTTCACACCTTGTGACTGGTGTCTTAAATCTTGTCATACAATCGAAATTAATTAAAAAAAAACACAATAATACTGAAAAAAAAAACTAAATTATCACAGCAAGGTATATAGACAGTAATATAAAAGAGGTATATTACTGGTCCGTTTAGCAGACGTTCCTGAAAACCCCAGCCATTCCCCCAGGGACGAGTGACGAGTCTACTGGGGGTTGAGCTGGGGAAAGGAACTAAACCGTCATCTTGCAAGCTTGAGAGGGATCTTCAGGTGTAGATTTATCCAGGATCGAATTGAGTCCCTCTCTCATATCCAGGTCTGCATTTGAACCTGACATGATTTATTTCTTGTTCCGGAAATCTGATTGGTGAATTAGCGATGTGTCCTTCCTGGAATGCTGGGTCTTTTTGGAGTAAGCTGATGTTTCTTTTTTCGTTGTCTTGTGTATTGGCGTTGGTGAGGTCTGAGAAGAATAGGTGTTCCTTGTGGAGGTGGAGATTCGCTTTCCAACCCTTCTTCCTTGTGGATCTGTCTCTGTGGACTGTCTTGGTTCTAATTCTTCTTCCTTCTGAGTCTGTTGCCACTTTAGCTAAAGCGTAATAGTGTACTGTTTATATGAGCCAGGCCAAATCCAGGCCTAATCAGGCAGTTTCTAGCCAATCAAGGCAGTGCAAGACAGGATCCATCCAATAACAGGCTTTTCAGGATTTGATCTTGAAACCGGGGGTTCACAGTGAACGTTTGTGAATTACAGAGAATATATTTAAGAAGGCTAGGCCCGTTTCAGGTTTTTTCTCCATATCACTTCTATTTTTGCGAAGTCTCCCTTTAACATTTCGTATTATCTTCAAAGTCTTTTTAAAAATATTTTCTAATGCGAATCTAATCTATCAGGGTGTCAGTTCAATTAACCAATTACAGGGTGGCCAAAACTTTTTTGAACCCATCCGTACAAAAATCCGTACATTTTCAGAAGAAATCCGTACAATCCGTACAATTTTCGAAAAACAATCCGTACAATCCGTACAATTTTTTTTTTTAAAAATCCGTACAATCCGTACATTTTTTTAAACCAATCCGTACATTTTTTTAAAGATCCNAGGATACTGGGTACAGGATACTGGAACATCTTCTTGAATAAGCAATCAAATAAGTACTTATGGAACATATTCTCAAATAAACACTTCTTGGACATATCTCGAAAATTATGAATGAATTTTGATTGTCAATTGAAACATTAATCAATCTAATATTATTTAGAATGCAGAAAATAAGTTAAACTAACTTCATTTTGACGAGAATTTTTTTTTTATTTTCATGAAAAATTTGCTGAAATGAGTGAAAATTTAAAAAAACGGTGTATTTTCCAGGATAAAATCCGTACAATCCGTACAATTTGAAAACAAATCCGTACAATCCGTACAATCCGTACAATCCGTACAATTTTAGGGTTAAAAAAAATCAATCCGTACAATCCGTACATTTTGGCCACCCTGCAATTAGTTTATAAAGTTTGTAAAATTACGAAGAAAAAAAATTGTATAAATTAACGAGGAGTCCCAACTCTAGAAGCAATTTCATGTGATCCCTAAAAGCTATGTAAGGTCAACTAATTAAAGGTTCTCTGTAAAGTTGACATGCACATTGCTGCTACAGAAACTATGGAGGAATTTTTCGTATGTCAACATGAGCTAGAAAAACAACGATATCATCCACATTCTTTAAGATTTAAAAAGTTCCTTTGTGAATCGGGGAATGCAACTCTGTACGTGAAGAGTCACAACAGAGCCAGCGATTTAAAAACTTCGGCTCGAGCCGTAATTCCTTAAACCCAACTTTAAGACCCAACTCTGACGACAGCTTGTGTCACGTGATTACCAGCTTCAAGATCTTAGGCTCAACTTAATGAGTTAGGCCCAATGAAAATAAAACCAACCTTGGTTGGTTTTGTTTTCAACACTGTTGAAAAGATGCAGCTTGAAACCAAAAGCTCAAGCCGTAAATAAGGCCTAACGACAGCTTAGACCTGAGCCAAATTTTCCCGAATTTTTATAATCGCGGGCTCAGTTAAGACAACTTTAATTTGTTCTTTTTTAATATTTTTTATATTATTATTTGTGCACTGTCCAATGTGCATCTAAACTCAAACATTTTTACAAGAAATTTCTCTGAATATCTGAAAAATAACAAAGTTCTTTAGTTATTTATTAATAAGATTTATACATTATATTTTGTACAATGTTTAAAAAAAAAAATTATCATAATAAATTTTGCAATACAATAAAATTTCAACAATTATTATGATTATAAAACAATATAATTTGCAAGATTAACTTGGTTGGATAATCAAGGGATTTGATTTATAAAAATATTCCAAACTTATATTTGTAGCAATTGTAACCATTGGTAACACAAAGTAGATGCATAAATTACGCAATTCAATTTTTCACTTTTATTTAGAAAATTAGTGGAAAGCATTTATTTAGTCCCTTATTTTTGTTTGTTCTCGTTAATTCATGTTTAAAAATAAGTCTTGTTTAAATTTTAATAAAACGTCAATATCTTGATTAAACTAATTTTAAAAAGATTTCTTCTCTGAAGTATCCTATATTTAAAAAAACGCAGTCTTGTATAACTCTAAGGATAGGACTCCAGCCACTAATATCAAAATCAAGAGTTTAGTTTGCTTAGACATGATTTTGATAGATTATCAACTTAAAACCATATTTAACTTAAACCTAGTTTGAAAAGTCAGTTTTAACTCCATTTTCCAAACTTAAAGTTAAACCCGGCTTAAGTTTAGTGTGTATAGAACTAAGATGAGGGAAAAGGATTGAGTGTGACGCATTAAAACAGTAAATTTCAACACGATGGACATTTTCTTGACATGGTAGAGGGGACATTTGCCAGGGTTTGTGAAATAATTGTTTTCTTACTTTCCTAGTTTTACACACAATAGCTTGTCCTGTTCCCACGAGTTGGTAATGGGTTTGCTATTTATAATGATAGGATAGATTATCTCTGATCGTTTACTCCTTCAGGAACCTTAGCAACCACCCCGTCTAGCGCCTTGGTCATGCAAACCTGTTAATACAAAATATTTATTAAATATTTATAAGAGCCGCGTTTGTGTTCTGAACCCATTTAAATTAATAACGTAAACTTACATCAACCCCTTGAGATAATAAGTTGTGACTTTTGAGCCTCAGGTATGGGGTCATAACTTTGAAAAATCTTGAAAGGTATAGGGTCAAAAAGGAACTTAATTATCTAAATTAACGAGAAAAAATGCGTTATCGCATATAAAAAGATGATGTTAAAGAAGAGTTAAGTAAAGGTATTATTTCATAACAAATCCCCGAATCCCCGATTCAAATCCTCATAAATCTTTAACTTAAAATCGATGATTTAAGATTTGAACCGGCGACCTAGGTCAAATGCATTGAATTCGTTTACCTGGCATCCTAGTCGTGAGGTATCAGTTAAACCGAATGCAAGATCTAGCATATCCAATTCTTCATCTGTTACAACATCTTCAATCTTTTTGTAGTCCTGAAATTAATAATATTAATATCAATATAATAATTAATTATAATTAATGATAATGATATTAACTAATTATAATAATAACTAGCTGAAGTGCTCGGCGGTGCCCGTGGAAAAAATTGGAATTTTGAAAAAAATTTAACTCATTGATTTAAAAGAAATAAATGTCGGAATTTTTTAGCCCATTCTGTCCAGCCATTTGGACATCTAAAGCTAACATATATGCAAACAAAAAAATTAAAATTTTGAAACAAAAATTTAGATTTAAAAAAAACTAAATTATTATTTGACAAAAAAATTTGAATTTGTTTAGCCTACTTTACACCCAGGGTACACCCATGGTTTCCCTCATAAAATTTCAATCCATTCGGTCCAGCCGTTTGGCCAGCTATAGCCGACATATATATTTGAGCGAAGAGCTTTATTTTTTAGATAATAATAGCAGTCAACCCTTATCCTCTATGGGAAAGGCTTGAGCTTCCTCCCATTAAAGTTCTAAAGGACTAACTGAGTGTAATTTTATTAGTCAGAGTCAAGCCCAAGGCGCTGATTACCACGTTAAATTTAAGTATATTAATGTTGAAATGAAAATTTTACGTGTTTTCAATCATAACTTCTCTTTCCTTTTGAAATTAAAAAAGGAGGAGAAACGTCACAAGTCGTTGAACTTTTGCTTTTGTCTAGATCGAATTGATTATTGATATCATTGTTATTATTGTTATAAAGAACTGTTCACTAGTGTACTGTGCTGTCTATGTGTGTACTGTACTGTATGAATATGTGCTGTAGTGTATGTGTGAACTGTAATGTGTGTTTGTGTACTGTGCTGTATGTATGTGTGCTGTACTGTATGTGTATGTATTGTACTGTATGTGTGTGTAGTGTACAGTATGTATGTGTGTGTGTGTGTCCTGTACTGTGTGTATGTGTACTCTGTATGTGTGTGTGTACTGTACTGTATGTTTTTGTACTGTACTGTATGTGTGTGTACTGTATAGTATGTGTGTAGTGTGTGTGTGTTATGTTTGTTTATGTACTGTTTGTGTGTGTACTGTATAGTATGTGTGTAGTTTGTGTGTTATGTTTGTTTATGTACTGTTTGTGTGTGTACTGTATTTGTGTTTACTGTACTGTATGTATGTGTGTTTACTGTACTGTGTGTGTACTGTATAACTCACCTCTGGTGAGAATATAAGATGGCAGGTTGAGCACGCCAGAGTTCCCTCACAAGCACCAAATCCATCAATATCAACATCATTATTGATTGCAACATCAAGCAGATTCTCTCCTTCACTTGCCTGATAATAACAATAACAATAATAACAATAACACTAATATGTTATAATATAACAATAACCATAACTATTTTTGCAACAATAACAATAACAATAACAATAACAATAACAATAACAGTAACAGTAATAATGACAATAATAATAATTATAAATAAAACAAGATCAACAGCAATAATTATGACCGTGACCGTGACCATGACCATGACCATGACCATGACCATGACCATGACCATGACCATGACCATGACCATTGCCATGACCATGTCCATGGCATTACTAATAATAATACTGAAAAAGACATAATCAATAAAAGTAACAATAAAAATGAAAATACCCAAAATCTTTCCTATAACAATGAAAAAGTTTTTATTGATTAGGATCTAAAACAATAGTTAAATTCATATCTAACTTTACATTTTTAAAAAATATTAAAATTCAGAAACTTTACCTTAACTGTAACTCGTTCTCCTGATCCAAGCTCGTATGTTACGCTTAAATTCTTTTCTAGCAATACAGAGCTTAGTCCTAGGCTCCTGGAAAAATAATTCAATTAAAGGGAGTGTTAGCGAAACTAAAAGGGTGGATTGGCTTACGTCGAAAAATTTTCGATGGTGATTTTTAACAATCTTATTTTTATCTGTTGTGTCTATGAGTAAATTGTTAAAAATGACTTATACCGAAAAACTTAGCGTCCATACAAATTTAGAAAGCTGCAATATTTTACTCGGATCGTAAAAAAATAAAAAATAAATTTAATTCCAAATCGTTCAGATATCACAACCTATTAACATCGATTTTTTGAAAATTCTATTTAAAAATATTTAAAATTATTATCCTTACCTTGACCTTGTAGTTTTTGTTAGATGAGACTGCCCTGTAGAAAACAAGTTGAAAAATTATGCTTAGAACGAAAAAGTTTTTTTTCGTAAAAAATTAATTTAATTTGAGGTTCAAGGATATATAACTATATCCTTAAAAATGTTTTGTCTGATCCGAAATGCATGAAGCAATCATCATCTTTTCTTATAAAATTGATTTTTTTTCAATTGTGACACCACATTTTTGCACTTTGTAAGTGGAGGAACACTTGAACTTACACCAACTGGCCCTTTTAGAGAGGTCTGAACAAATTTTGCTCCGCAAAGCATAAATTAAAATTTATTGTGACATGTGAATTTTTTGGAAAAAAATATTCAAGTAATCAATTCACATCATTTGAGTTCAGCTAAAATATTCCATAAGCTATCTAAAATCTGCATATCTAAATGGCATGTGGAAAGTAATCATTTTCAAAAGAAAAAGGGGTGCAAGTAGTGCTGGTTATCGTTATGGTTTATTTTAATAAACAAAACTTTTAATGAAACTTATAAGATTTCAAAACTGTATTATTCTGTTTAGGATAGTTTTTTTTTTGAAAATTAATTAATCCTGAAAAATGAAAAATTATTGTTAAAACACGTTTTTAGTCGGTCTTTTGAATAAATTTTCTGTTAGGGTTAAATTTTAACAAAGTGTAAGAGAAGCAAATGTTAAGAATTAACAACTTTAAAAACATCTGCTCTTCCTACTCTACTAAATTTTGACCCTTAAAGAAAAACAAACCAAAAACAAGGTGTCATGATTTCATAATTACGCTGGTCAACTTGGTTCCCTAGAATAGACCTGGAGGACCGAACTGAACGCTGAACTAATAATCTAAACATTTTCTCTGAAAGAAAATTTGAATTATTTTAACTATATAAACTATAAAATACAAAGCTATCAGGGCCAATCTTCTACTTAAATTTTTAATTGCTGCCCAACCTTGCAGTATTTTCTCTTCAAAAAAAAAATTTCGGATTTAATTTTTTTTTGTGGATTTTCAAATTTTTTTTATTCTTTGCATCCACAACATTCCCTGAGATCGTGTGAGGTCCCATACAAAATTTGAGCCCGATCCGTTCAGCCGTTTTGACGTTTATTGGATACAAAAATACAAGCAAAGTATATAAAAATAGATATTTAATACTGTTCTGTGTACAGTTCATATTATTTTACACTGTGCAGTACGGAATGATATCTGCAAGAAGACCACCTGCAGTACATAAAGTATCACGCATACAGGGTTACCCACAATGACTTCAGAGCCGATTGGATATAATTAAGTCAGTCTTTTTCTTTAACTTCATAGTTCCTTACAGTTATACATTATTTCTTTTTATTGGCAAATCATTTAATATAAAGGGAGTTCTGGGTTGTAGGGAGGGGTGTTTATGCTTAGGTCTTACATAAAGTCTTCTAATGATATCTATCTAAGACATAAGCATCAGTTTAATCCTAAGATCGTTTAAGACGTCAATAAAGTTTCATCCTTTGTGGGTAACCCTGTATAAAAGTCAAGATCCCCTCATTAGTTTATTTATGAACTTAAAGTATAGTATCCTTCTTAATATCATATTCACGCCAAACTAAAGTAACCTTCACGTAAGATTAAAGTCTTAGAGGGACAGGCAGGTGGTTGAACTGTCTTCGTTATTTAATAATTTTTTAAAAACCGATTCTGAAACGTCGAATTTGCGCTCAAACTCAGGATTTACAGATCTTTAAAAAGTTTTATATGTCTCAAATGAATCCTAAAGAAGCTTTATAAAACACTGCATACTCAGTTCAACTACCTTACATAACCGGTCTGTCCCTTTTAATGTTTACAATCAGAACTCCTTATTGTGGAGCTATTGAGTAGAAAATAACTGAAATGTTTTTAATTTCTTGTTTGTAACTGGATAAATTTAATTTTCTTATAAAATTAAAATATAGGAGACAAGAGGTTACAAACTCATACCAGGCGTATAAATTTCACATTCTTCTGTTTGATTCATAAGAGGGGGGGGGACAGGGTCGAGATAAGGGTCTGCAAATAGTCGTCTTATCTTGTGAAAATTATTTTAAATATGTAAATTATAAATATTGTAATAAAAAGAAAAGTTACTTGAATATTTCTTGTTTGTTAAAATTAAATAATGCAATAAAAAATGGTACCAATGTTGAAACTATTCCATGTGAATGAAAAAAAAACAATTTTCCCCAAAATAAATTTTTAACCACCTAATTATACGGAACGAACAGAGTAAACAGAAGTTTTGCAAAAAAACAAAGAAAGATAAGAAATTGGCCCCTGCAGATGGCACACCGTGAAATCTATTTTTAACTATACAATTTTCTTGTTTGTTTGTATATTTTTATGTATCCAATACACGTCAAAACAGCTGAACCGATTGGGCCATATTTTTTTGAGGCAACTCACATGACCCCAAGGAAGAGAGATGGTTGAAATTGTAAAATTAGTGCGTGGATAAAAATATTTAACTTAAAAAAAGAAGTAAAGAGAAAAAGCCTGATAAGTAAACAAAGTTAAGTAATAAGTTTGTCAGATCGAAAAAACATACGCGAAGCTTTATAAATACGAAGTATGCATATAATTGACAATTAAGAAAATTTTAAAACACCCTGACAAGTTTTTTATTTAATCAATATTATGCTTTATTTCCAAAAATATGGAATTAGATTGGATCGAATTAGAGCTGAAAGAAATTTAATCTTCAAAATCGATTAAAATAAAAGTCGCCAAGACCTATATAGACTGATATGCAAATTATATCTGTAAAAAAAACCTGTGTATCATGTGGATAAACTTAGACTTTACTGATTTTAATAACATATGTTACCCTCTGTTCCAACCCTTACGCTGAGTATCCTCCCTTTTCCTTATACTCCCTCACCTCCTCCATACATTTTTTCTGATTTTTCATCATTCATATGTTTAAAATGTTCAATGTACATTGTTTTTATTTGCAATTCTCATTCGTTTATAGTGGGCCAACCAATTAAAACAACCTACTCTGGTTAGGCGGGTCCAAACTACATAGTAAATTGTGATTTTTTTATTTGTATTATCTCATGCTTTGTGGTTGAATAAAAATATGAAATGTTTTTCATTCATGAATAGTTAATATCAATAAACATATAGTTGTCTTGTTCTTAATTAATTAAACTTCTCAAAAGCTTAGAAATATAAAAATTCTAAACAATAATAATTAATAAATTAACAAATAAAAATAATTCAAAATGAATAAAAAATTGCCTGTTCTAGATTGTTTAAGAGTATAGAGTACAAATTGTAATATTAGTAATAATCTAAATTAGTTAATGTATACAATTATTACGTTATAGAATGTCATTATTCTTCCCAATAAATACGAATATTGTTGAGAATAAAAAATCTGAGCCATTTAATAAATAACTATTGAATAGTGCACTGTACTGTGTATTATGCAAACTGCCTAATAGTGCCTAGAAAGGCAAGCCTCCCGCATTTCCAGGGTTACAGTGAACATCAGGCAATGTTCACAACCAGAGTACACACAGCTAGTACAAACACAACCCGAGAACACGCAACACAGAGTACAGACTCACACCAGTAGAGTACACACACACAACACGGACTATACATAAACTGCTCATAACACACACACACAACACAGAGTACACAATGAACACACACAAAACAGAGTACACACATCAAAAAAAGTGTTTGTTGAACTTATACAACACAACACCATAACATAGCCCTGCAAACACAAGTGTGAGCCGAACAAAAGGAATAATACTCGAAAGAGGGAAATAAGGCGAGTTGGCAAGGAAAACACTCTTTTCTATCAGACACAGATAGATGATAACTTCTTGAAAATGTATATTTCAGTAACGAGGTTTCCTACAAAATACAAATTGTTATTGGCGAACATGTATATAAATAATAATTGTTAATAAAGATTAAACAGTTGAAGGTTTTATCAATAAATGAGTGTTGAATAATTGGTTTAGAAACATGTACCATTGAAAATTGAACAAAGGCTTAAAGGTATTGTTGCGAACTGATAAATAAACAGGTTTAAAAAATAAAGGTACTGTTGTGAATTGGGTATGTGGAACTTACAATCTAGAAAACTGTGTTGGGCCGAAAAGTTGTTTGAACTGAAGTCTAAAGCAATTTATTCTTCTGAAATGAATATTTATCTAGTTAAAGTAATTTCACTGTTTATTTGTAAATGATTCACTGAAAATTATGTTTAAATGGGTTCTTTTAATGCACTTTAAGTTTTATTAGCTCCATGAGGTTATTGTTTATATTTATGCAAAATCCTTGGCAATGTTTGGTTTGGTGGGTGGACGGAGGGTTTAACGGAGGTACAGTTTATCGGAGACGACCTTTACAACAGGGTTACATTAGGGGGTATGGTACACAACAAGACGTAGTTTCTAATTTAACTGCTTATGCCACCTATTTATCGCACTTGTATACTAAAAACGAAAATATCTTAATACATAATTACAGAGAAATAAAAATTGTCAAATTTTAAATTAAATTTTTAAATGCCTTTTCCATTTTCGAACTACTCCTAGGAACATTGGGTTGCCAAGTCAAAATGTAAATTGTTGTCATCTTCAAGAGAGTCTAGAAGGAACATTAACATTATATCTGAAATTAACAATGATCGATATTTAGGACAGGACAGCATGATCAATTTATTATTTATTTTTCCCCTTCAAATCACAGAAAATGCATATTGGATGGATTAGATTAATGTTTCGATCGACATTTAATTTAATTGTACAACCTAATTTTTACATGCATTATAAATTGTACAACATTTGCGAAACATTTGTGCAAAACATAAATAAAACAGAGATCACTAAATATTACAATTTAAAATTTAATAAAATGCAAAATACTAAAATTGGCAACATAACTTCGAGCCTGTAGAGTCTACACTAGTTAGGAACAATATCTGACAAAATATCAGTTAAAAATAGTAAACAGACATGACACTTAACATCTTGTTAATTTGGTAACAGTGAACATTAATTAAAATAACTGAATTGAAAGCTCAGTATTTAAGGGTTTATCAAAAGAATGGTAAAAATGTCTTAAAATCATTTAACGATTTAAACAATGCAAACAGTCGGACTAAAACAACTTTGATATCTCGCGCACAAGAATAGCGATTGCAAGCGCGACAATGGCGCCAAGGGTGGCTCGGATAATCTGCTCGTTTTTTTTTATCAGGGGTTGAGGTGGTGGAGGAGGTGGGTCTTCAGGTAGTCCCAACATCTAGATAGATAGATAGATATAAATATAAAAAATCGATTACTTATTTCTGAAAAAAGGTTAATGTGACGAGATCGGATTTAATAAAAAGCAGAACTAAGCATGGCCACTTAAATACTTTAGACCAGTGAAGGCTATGGTATTTGGGGGGTTTTCAGGTCCAAACGGGTGTTGAGAATGAAAAAATAATGTAAGCCCCCTGGAAAAATTCTTAATGAGTCTCAGGTAAACGCCCCTGTGAGTGTTTTTTTTTTGCTTACCACGTTTACAATTTTATGTACAATGTCTTCCTATGTACATGAACCGGTCTGTAATAAAGAGATTTTTTTCGAGTTTTACTTTTTTACCTTCCTCGCCATTCGTTGCTCCTTCAACGTTGTTTCCTTCAGCTTCTTAGTTAGTTCCTTCACCTCAACCTGTTGGATATAAAACAGTGTAACCCAGAACTTCAGAGAAATGGAAAGACTTGATAAAATGTCGTCTTAGGAATCTTTCAATTGGTTTTATACTGTAAGACATAAATCACAGTAATTGTAAAAATTAAATTAAATATGCGGTAACAGTTTTAAAGAGCTCCATATAATTATTTAATTGAAAAACTAAATATCTGCAGCATTCCATTATCAGTAGGTTTAGAAAACGACATTTGATAAATTCGTAAGGTGTCCCTGAAGTTGTAGATTAGACTGTAGGTATTTCTTGAATAATCATGCCCCCACTTGGACCCCCCCCCTCAGGGTTCGAGAAATTTTTTTCTCTCACTTTATTGAGGAAAATAAACTATTTGTAGGAAAATAATTATGATATACAAGATTTTCCTTATATACTACTGGACTTCAAAGCGAGGATGTAAAAAAATGTATATTTTCTGACATAATATCAACAGTCAACACTGACGGACATGTTGTCTTTATCTATCGTATTAAGGTCAGACTAACCAATACTGGTTGTTTATATAATTAAATCAAATAGTAGCAATATAATGAACGAAAAAAAACAGTTTAATAAATTAAATAAAAAGAAATGAAAAGTTGTCAGCATTTTTATTCTTTTTATACTAAACCATTCAAAATTAGGAAATTTCTGTTTATCTCTTATGTGTAGAGATTTGATCTTAAAAGATTTTTTTCCCTTTCTAGCAGGCTTTTATTTTAATTTTATTTTAATTCTTTGATTTTGAACTAGGAAGCCAAAATGTGCCGGGATTTGTGCTGTAGTAAAAAAATCCTTGAAAAATGTATTTTTTTTTTAAGTAGGTTTGAGATGGCTATTGGAAGAGTAGGGTGTTTAATTGACTGACATACAGTTTAAGTCATTTACCATCAATAAAATAATAATTTGATAAAAATATTTGAATAAAAACACTAACTAACCTGATTTACAGTGACTAATGCTGAATCCCAAGCCTTCAATTTAATTTGTGCCTGAAATTTATAAAAAAGTCATTTATGATTAATTACAAATAATTCTTCTTTAGCAATAAACAAACCTTTAAAAAAATTATAGAAAAATTAGGATGAATCATCACTAAATTATGGATCATGTTAACAATTTTCAGGAGTTGATAATACAATACCCCTTCGAAATTTTCGAAGGTCTGTAGAGTAAGTTTTAACCCGAATTCTCCTAGTAGATAAGATTCATAATTCAATAATGTTTTGAACTCCTTCTTAAACTTTCAATATTTAAAGTTGTTACAGCTTAGACCAAAAGTGTGCCTTATTCTGCTACCATTTTTAAATAAAAGGGTGAACATCTTACAAACAAATTGAGTTACTTAAAAGCAAAACAGGCAGGTTATCAACGTTTCCACATTTTCAGATTAACGTAACAAAAGGAAGGAAATTTTAGTTGGAGGATTTTAAAATGTCAATGATTAAGTTATAATTCCTACCTGGAATTTCAATTGTTTGCATGTTATACGATTGAGAGAAAACGAATCTGGAGTATCTTATTTAATTTAGGAAATATATAAAATTTAAGCCTCCTGATTTGCAGAATGACCTCCAAGCCCCTCAAAACCAACTCGCTACTTAGAGACGTAGAGAGAGACACAGAGATGGTTTTGAGGGGCTTAGAGATTCTTTTGCAATTCAGGTGGCTCCGCAGGGCTCTTAGTGACTCTGCACCCCCTCCCTCGATATAGAAGCCATTACATTTCAAACAATAAAATCATTAGTCATAGTTTTAGATAACTAAGGTTTACACCACTGCACCAAAGGGAAAAATAGAGAGATATAGTTGAACCGCATAAACCAAGTTGAACCAGTTTTCTTCGAACTGACCCGGCACACAAGAGAGATATAGTTGAACCGCATAAACCAAGTTGAACCAATTTTCTTCAAACGGACCCGGCACACAAGAGAGATACAGTCGAACCGCATAAATCAAGGTGAACCAGTTTTCTTCAAACGGACCCGGAACTCAAGAGAGGTGGTTCAACTACTTCTTTCTATTCATTAGCTCTAGGTTGCTCAGATTAACCAAAATTAAGTGTTTTACGTGAAGAATACCCATAGATAAATAAATAAACATAGATAGCTTATGTACGCAAAATCACCAAGAATTGTACAGTCCGCGAACTCATACTTCTAGGGGTCAAAGTGTACTTCAATTATAAACGGGGTGGTTTGGTGTTTTAATGGATTGCATAATTGTTAAACCACTCAGGAGTGAATTTTATTTTGAGACTATCAATATATCATATTGACGAGAACTGAAGAAGGACATGAGAAGAACTAAACTAACTTAAATTTCTCTATACTAAACTCATGTACACCACAAGTACTCAATGACATAGAAACAACCAATGTTCAAAATCGACCTAGTTAATCAATATAATATAAATATCTTTAAAACATCTCTGTACATAAATATCGTTCAAGATGAAAAATGTCGTCTTATGCGCAATCTATCTTTATCTATGAGAATACCTCAGACAGCTTGAGCAAAACTTCCAGTGTTTCGGATCCATATCATTTTGATTCGGATCCGGATCCGAGGTAACTTTTGATTCTGTGAATCGGATTTTCCCTATTAAATGTTATGCAAGGTTGTAATTTATAAACTATAGTAATCCTAAAGTTAAAAATGTCGTCATTACTATTATATAAATGTAAAGATTAAATTATTAAAGATAATTTTGAAAAATTTTCGTCATGTAAATAATACATTTCTGAACCATTTTGATTTATTTATTCCATGGTTTTGGTTAATTTTTGGCGCTACCCGGATCCATATCAACGTTTCCTAATACGGATCCGGATCCGACCAAATGATACGGATCCGGATCCGAAACACTGAAAACTTCAATTCTTGTTTCTGCCATTTCTGTAAAATCAGAAGGCCAGATATCCTTGTCTACCGGAACCTGAAATATTTCTACAACCTTACCATCAATAATCATCTTAGACTAAGTTTTAACAAAAAATGTAACGTTTCTGTTTTCTAACCTAAATGTTTTAATAGAAATTTTGCTATTTTTGTTTAAAATTTTTTGATAGCAATGGTTCTGTTTCTGTTCCAAATGTTTTGATAGAAGAAGTTCTGTTTCTGTTTGCTGTTCTAATGTTATGATAGAAATCGTGCTGTTTCTGTTTGCTGTTCTAATGTTTTAATAGAAATTGGGTTGTTTCTACTTTCTGTCCTCTATATAGCTTGATACAAATGGTACTGTTCCTGTTAGCTGTTCTAAATGTTTTAATAGAAATAGTGCTGTACATACAATTAAAATTGAGTGTTCCAAAAAATACTTTTTTTAATTATCAGAATCAGGGACAATCAGGGAAAAGAAAAAAGGAAGAAAAAAATCAAATCAGAATTTTTCTGTATCAACTGTATCCAATTTATTCAATTAAAAAAAATTATAAATTGTTAAAAAAGAAATAGTAATTCGGTTCTTCTGTTCTAAATGTTTTGATAGAAAAGGTACTCTTTCTGTTTTCTGTCCTGAACGTTTTATGGAAATAGTGCAGTTTCTATTTTCTGTTCTAAATGCTTTGAAAGAAGTTGTCCTGTTTCTGTTTTATTGTTCCAAATGTTTGGATAAAAACAGTTCTGTTTCTGTTTACTGTTCCAAATGTTTCGATAAAAAACCGTTCTGTTTCTGTTTACTGTTCTTAATGTTTTGATAGAAATTGTGCTGTTTGTTTTTGTTTAATGTTCCAAATGTTTCGATAAAAAACAGTTCTGTTTCTGTTTTCTGTTCTTAATGTTTTGATAGAAATTGTGCTGTTTCTGTTTAATGTTCCAAATGTTTCGATAAAAAACCGTTCTGTTTCTGTTTTCTGTTCTTAATGTTTTGATAGAAATTGTGCTGTTTGTTATTGTTTAATGTTCCAAATATTTTGATAAAAAACCGTTCTGTTTCTGTTTTCTGTTCTTAATGTTTTGATAGAAATTGCGCTATTTGTTTTTGTTTAATGTTCCAAATGTTTGGATAAAAAACAGTTCTGTCTCTGTTTTCTGTTCTTAATGTTTTGATAGAAATTGTGCTTTTTCTGTTTTATATCCTGAAATGATAACCAGTAACAGTTGCAAAAAATTTTAATATACAGATAAAGCAGGCGGAGATACCAGAAAAAGAATAAATATGAGTAAGAAGAAAGTGTGAAGATTTAGGAATAAAGAAAATGACCTTAGATTTAATTCAAATCTTTCTTATAGATGAGTCCAGTATGTCCAACATTTCGAGTCTTGCTGTTTAAGCTATCAGATTTTAGAAAACTCTGTTTTGTAAGTTAGTAAAAATGGTTTATAATCAATATTTGGACAGTCAAGTTTCGGCGTCAACTGTTTTTATGATTCATATTCTTTGTAAACTGGTGTTGACGGAAAACAGCAACACACTAGACAAATCTGGACAATAGGCCAGTTAGGATTCTGGTGGGGGATGTTTATTATCCCCAGACAATTCTTTCCCGATAGGCCGTACAAATACACACAACAGAGTAACCCCGTCTCAGAAATTCGATAACAAAATCTTTATTTCCTGAAAAAAATATAACATAAATTATAGGTCATGTTTACTTGTACAATGTTATAATGAATGTTAATAGTAGAAAAACTTACGAATTATTTAAGTATAGTCAGGGTGACTTATTTGTTGATCAGTATTGAAATACGTTTTTTTAACTTCTGAAAAATTACAGTTGAATATTTAACGAAATTCACTAATGCTTCTTATGAAAATATTTTGCTTAACTTTAATGATTTCACAACAACGAAAATATTTTAAGCTCCGTCGGAGGAGGACAATGGAATTGCGGGCTGAAAGTTTGGTTTGGCTGTCTCCGACAGGAGATTCAAGTTGAAGACGACATTTTATAGAGGTTTTAAAATTAATGGTTAACAACTGGTTGTTATTAGTATTCAGAAGGATAATGCAGAATTTTAAAATACTGCATCTGCATATTTTTGGAAGTTATTTCAATATTAAACCTTTCAGTAATTAAAGACTAATTTATTTTTTTAAGAATCACTCATTTTTTTCCATTTGTAACTTTCTTTGAAAAAACCAAATTTGATCTGTTATTCTTATTTCTAAGACTTTGCATTGTGTTACTAACAGAAATTTTATGCTTTAATAATCTGTTATTCTTATTTCTAAGAATTTGCATAGTGTTCATAACAGAAATTTGATACCTTACTAATCTGTTATTCTTATTACTAAGACTTTGCATTGTGTTAATAACAGAAATTTGATACCTTAAAAATCTGTTATTCTTATTTCTAAGACTGCATTGTGTTAGTAACAGAAATTTGATACCTTAATAATCTGTTATTCTTATTTCTAAGACTTTGCATTGTGTTAATAACAGAAATATACCATAATAATCTATTATTCTTATTTCCAAGACTTTGCATTGTGTTAATAACAAAAATTTGATACCTTAATAATCTGTTATTCTTATTTCTAAGACTTTGCATTGTGTTAATAACAGAAATTTGATACCTTAATAATCTGTTATTCTTATTTTTAAGACTTTGCATTGTGTTCATAACAGAAACTATCCCTTTCAGAAAGCGATAATAGATCTTTTATGTCTTAACTTTATATTATTAATCATTGACATTGTTTTTTTAGAAAGTTAAGAAAGTTTAAACAATATTTGCTTTAAATTTTAAAAGAAATATTTCAAAATTTTTATTTCTGATCCGAGGATTTCTATAATTTCCTTTTTCTTGATAAATATCTAATATTTGACCATTTGTTTTCTGTTTGGGTTATGAATATTACTCACAGTTTTTTTGTAATAATATCTTTCTGTCTAATTCTAACCTGTGTGATTAGAAGAATGACTTATTGGTTCCAATATGTTGTTTTTTAACTGTAACTGTACTTGGAGAAACTGGTAAGTAATGTTGCAAGGTAGCTTGGAAAATCAGGATTCCAGTAGCAAGCATAACAATTGGGAAAATTCAG